TTATAATACAAATGGCGGGAACTCTTTGCAACGAGCATTTCTTAGCTGCAAAGAAGAAATGCACACTGCAAAGAAAGCTACAAATTGGCAGGAAAATAATTCAGTGGTGCCAAAGCGCACACACAACAAAAATCACACCCTTGGGTTGTGACACACTGCATGCTGCTAGCCAATGGAATCTATTAACCATGTCTGTGTCCAGGAGTAATAGCTTCAGTAAATACTGAAGTTCTTCCATTTCGTCAGCATATAGGCATATCATTGCATTATTTTATATATAAACTTTATATATGTGTAATTATATATTTTACACATAAAGTTTATGTCAGTTCAAAACAATACAAGATTAAAATAAATGGGGAAAAACCCCCAACCAAGTGATATATTGCTATATGATTATATATTTATTCTGAAGCTGTAATCCTGAAGCTCTTTCACTTAGTCATGGCATATAAGAATTTATAATATTCTTGTGTGTGTGTACATATAATAGGTACACACGTGTATAATATGTATTAATGTTGTGTAATATTGTAATGATGTAATGTAATATTGTAATGATGTAATACTAGCCAATTGTCTGTCATGAATGACATTTCAAATAACAAAGGAACGGCCACCCCCGCTCACCCTTCAGGCCGGCTATGTAAACAGTTCATCTGCCACTGCCACCTCCTCCTCCAGCATGGGGGCTCCCTCCCCCCTGCCTTCCTCCACCTCCTCCCTGGAGCAGCACGGTTCCTCTACCCTCCTCTCCCTCCCTACCGCCTCCCCCTGCCTGCCAGCTGTTGGGTGTGTTTGCACGTTGGGCACCCTGGCCTGCTGGGCACTGGGGGGCAGCGGGGCCCACACAGCCAATTGCTGCCCACCCTCTCTGCAGCACAGGTTCACTTGACCAAGAGCGTTACAGACAGACAGACACACAGACAGATGGACTAAGCCCTTTATATACATAGAATTGTGTGTGTGCATATAATATGTATACTTGCCAATATGCTTGGGTTTTTATTATTATTTGTAATAAAAACACTTGGCAAAGAACTCTGCTACTATTTTTGATATGGAAATGAGGCCTGCCTGGTACTTAGTAGCTTGCCTTTTAATCACAAAAGCAGCACCATCCCCCCAGCTGGTTACCTGGTTACTAGTTATCCCCAACCCTCTTAAGGGTGACAGCATCATAATTATATTAGTGGAAGCAAACTTCTTCAAAACGGTAACTGGGGCCTGACCATTTCCAAAGGCAGCCTCAACTTTAGCTATGTTATAGTTGCTCATTTGTAAGCCTGAGAGAAAAATGAATAATCTAGTCCTAAAAAAAAGGGTGTTTTTTTCACCTGAAGTTTCCATCTGCAAGCATACCTGTTACAGGATCTTTCCAGTGCCAGTACACAGAGGGTGAGTGGGTAAAGCACACAGGTAAGAAGTATTTCAAACAATGACAGCTCCTGCTTTTGCTGCAAAGATTCCTTGTTCATTCATCAATACTCTGGGCTAT